TAAACACAAAACTAACAATGTTGGAGTATTAATCGGTCTTTTTTAGAAAATTAATCGACCGTCGAACCGGGGCATAATTTTGTTTTAATGGATATTTGGGACGGTGTCACCGACGAAACGCACAGTTATCTACGTCAGAGAGTGGTAGAATTGTTCCATAATGGAAACGCTCTTATTCCATTATTGGGTAATTATTGTCGATTGAAATTTACCGAATTTTGCAGTAAAATGTTTAAATTTTCAGGTGACTGATTTCTAAATTTTAATGGAAAATTTATGAGTAATAAAATCTAGATTATTTATTGAATATACAGACAGAAGGAAGGTGTATAGGGAGCGCCAAATTCGAGGATAATTATTGGGATATCGAATACTGTAAATGATACAAAATATAGTAAATTTTCACAATTTCATATCCAATAAATTGACGTTTTGAAAACTTTGAACGTTCTTTTTATAAGATCGTGCTATTAAATGTTAAATCCCAAGTTTTGTTTACGAGATGCCATCATAAGGTTTATTTTTTAAAATACGGACCTGTTTTTTCATTTATTTTAAAATCTTATGACGTTCCTAATAGAATATTTTAGTACACCTGCTCAAAAAAAGTATAATAGATAAAATCCCATAAGAGTGACACAAGCGACATTTTCAGGGTATCCTGTTTTGCTGGGTGTTCCACATAAGAATGAAACAATTAATATGGTATGGCCACTTAAACAGATATTCAAGTGGACACCAGCGGGACGACGAAAAAGGGGTAGATCACGCAAGAGCTGGAGAGAAGGAATAGACAAGAAACTAAAAGAACGAGAGCTCGAAGACGACCTCTGGCTAGATAGTGAGCAATGGCGACTGGGCATCGGAAGACGTCGAAGAACATTTTAAAACCGATTAATATATCTTCGGAAATATTTATATTTTTAAATTGCAAAACACCATTCTATTGGTGTTTTACAATTTCTATTGGTAATAAAGTTTGCCATAATTGGACATCCTTCGTATCCTGTATAGTTTCCGAGATCCCAGTGGTCATCCTCAATTTTGTAACATTTTGAGCTTTTGATACCCTGAATTCTAGGGTTTTATCTGTATAAAACATGGCACAAGAAGATATAGATTAACTAAAAATATGTGTAGTTTCTTTTATACCTAATCAGTTACAGGCTTAAAATATATAATATCAAAAAATACCAGCTGGGGCGCATATACAGAAGGGTAATGGGGGTAATTACATCTCCCAGGAAGTAATTTACACGTAAATTAAAGTGTGGTTTAAAATAAAATTAACACAAAAGAAATTAATACCTATCAATATGAAAAATACCTATCAATCGAAGTTTTATTTTTTTCCAGTTACAATATCTTTTAGCGCAAATTTAATTTAAACCTAATACTTTACTTAAAGACTCTGCCACTGAGCCTCCGTGACTCAATCTTTAGATGCACCATTGAGTACCAGTGATAAATAATACCAGACTATCGAAAAAAAATCGGCACTTGAGTTGGCTTGATAAAAATGAAGATCATTCTCATTTTATACGTAAAATTTGTATGGGGATCTTTATTTTGAAGCTAATTTGATAACTTTTTTGGACAATACGATATACATTTTGATATAGATAGTAATTAGAATATCCCTATATACATGTTTACTTCTGTGATGCAAAATATAACACAGAATTTACCGTTAGAGCTGATTTGTTTTTTCAAACATTTGTTAACAAAAGTTACAGATTAAATCGCAAAAAACAATGGAAAGGAAGGAAAGGTGAAAACTAGAAAAAAAGAAGCGACGATCGCTCAGCACACAAAACGAAGTCAAGAATCCATTTATTTTTCAATGAAACGTACAAACATAGGCACACAGTCGGAAAAAAGGGAGAAACTGGATATTTTTACCCTTTTGAATTCCCTAGAACAGTTTTTTTAGTTTGTTCTTATATACGGACTTGTTACTTTTATACTAAGGGCTAGCAAAGGTTAGTCTTGGGTCGAGATTTCCGTATGCAAGAGTACAATGCGTTTATAATGTACTGAACAAAGGGAGAACAGCAAACACGTTGTCAAATGTGTGAAATAAACCGAGAAATTGTGCACATTGCTAAGAGACGTGGAAGGGAATATTCGCAATCGACCGGTCGAGCCAATCAGTACCTGTCAGTACTTAAAGTTCTAGGGAAAGATGTACATCATGCGTTCAGCTTCACGAGTTAGATACACTTACATTTTTGGTAAAACTAAGTGGAATTGAGTTGATGTTCGACAGTGGCCCCGCTATTAGAACTCTGAATTTAAAAATCGAGATCTCAAAATCTATTATAAGTAATTGATTGTAGTTTTTTCAAAAACTTTTATAACATTTCTGCTATATTTTTTTCGCAGACAGTATGTGAAAATACATACTATTACTGAAAATTGCTAGGCACTAAGTAAATGGATGGGTTTGAAATTTTGTTTAAAATTTTTGAATGGAAAAAACAACCTTATCGAATTTTTCTTATTTAAACATATTGTAAAAGATCTGATCTTCAAAATAAAAAAAAAGTTTCAATATATAGACTGGTTCTTAAGTTATGGCGTGTTATGTGTAAAAGATTTTTTTAAATTATCGCGATTACTGACGTTTTCTCGTTTTAAAAAAATGGGCACCTTATCCTTATAATTCCATTTCAGATGCTCAGAAACATATCTAATGATTTTATCTAGTTATCTTTTCGGAAAAACTTGTTATCTTTTCGGAAAGTCTTGTAGAAAAGTAAGTGTAGACACAGAAAATTTTATGAGCCAGCAATAAAGTTTGAATACGATCTCGTATACGGTCCTAAAACTGGAGTAGCTGTAAAATTAGAACGTAGGTAAATTATAATAGCTTTTAATACTCTAGAGATATACGGCCAAAAGGTACTGGTTTAAAAAAATAAGATTAAAGTTAGTTAACCGTTTTGAAGCATAAAATTCAGTGTTTGTAAATTAGTGAAATTATTATTAATAAAATATTTTGTTTTATTTATTCTTGTGCAATATTAAAACTTTTTTTATTTGTACATAAACACTATATTGATAAATATAATAATAAATGCAAGAGTTTTCTTGAAAAGTTTGAAAGTAAGAAATAGTTCTTTTTGGATTTTTTGTATGTGGTATTTTTGTTTAACACACACCTTTGTTTGTTTTGTATTAATTAACAAACACCCTAAAATATATTTTTTAATAAAATGACTTAGTTAGATTTTTTTCACTTTTCTTTTTTTTTTCATATTTTGAAGTAATCATTCGTCACTAAAATTTTAATTTATTAATTTCCTGTTTTGCATACCAATTGTATCACAACTCATTTCTTTGTAAAATAAAATAAACCACTTTGAAATTAAAATGGCAGACATATGTATCAGTGTCAAGGATTTTGTCGTTGATCACACTGAACACTATATCCTAGATTAAAAGTTCCTGATGAGATAAGAGTCAATAAAGAGAATTAATCATATTGTGATTACAGGAATGACATCAAAGAAGAATTAAGTAACGACTAGGCTAGTATAAGCCTTTATTCAGCTTTATATTTGCTCATGAAAATTATAGGGATAACGCTCTATGTTGAATATATCCAACTTCAGTACAAATAATACTTAATGGTAGCTCATATATTTTTACTTTATAAAATAGTAATACCTAAAAATCTGCGTATTTTAACGTAGTAAAAAGAGAGAAAAAAAGTAATTTTTTTATGTATTTATACAGGGTGAGTCTTAAATAAATGCAAATATTTTCAGGACTGGTAGATCTCGATAAAAGAATCATATTTTCTCTTTACTGTTTTTCAAATAAGCCAAAAATAATCGAGTTATTTTCCTATGAAATTATTCAAAAAAAAGGATTTTGAGAACCGCTGAATCTTTTCTGAGTTTTCTTTCTTCTAAATTTAATCTACTACCTCTGCTGCCATATTATCAAGAAATTATGTTTTTTTAACTAGAAACTAAAAAAAATTTTTTTTTTCAAAAAATTCCAAATTTCCATATTGTTTTTTGCGAAAAAAAACTTCATGATAGTATTTCTGGGGTCTAAATATAATATCTGCGCTTATTTAAGACTCTTCCTGTATATTTGTCAAATTTTAAAGAATAATAAAAAACAAATAAATTGCATTTATTTTCGTTTTTATATAAAATGTAATATTGAATTTATCAACTTATACCTAATCTCGTAATTCTAACGAATATCAATATGCTTTTTCAGTAACAACTGGCGAACACGCCTGATGCATATTGATAGGTTCAAATTCGCTAAACTTTATACGCTGCAACCGTTTTGAACTGATCAGATAATTAAAATGGCATATTTGAAGTGCGTTCACGTAATATTTGCGGAAAACGTGAAATTTATATTACTTTGGAACTAGGACGCATATTAATTTTAGAGCATAAGTTGTAATATTCAATTGACAATGTATCCGGGATAGGAGATAGGTTAATGAAGTCCTACTAAAATTAATTAACAAAATTAATTTGGAGGATACTATAAAAGTGATATTATATATAGAACATTTAAAAGGATTAATATCCATAAGTGTTCAGGGAATGCATATTTTAAGGATAAATCAAATAAACCATAATTTAAAAAAATGAGAAACGGTGAATCATATCCCTGTTAATTATGATAAACAATTTTCAGCTTATTTAACCAGTTCCAGTTATGGTGTAGCCTCTCTCACATATTATCTGTGTAGTTGGGCCCATTTTTGTCTACTGGATTAACTATTTTAGAACAACCCAAAATTTTTATGGAAAATGCATTTTTCTGAAAACGTTAAAAATTAAAAAAAAAATCCTCTTGTAAAGACAATCCGGGGACATACTGTAGAAAGATATAATGAAAAGAAACAAGCTAATAAAGCCTTGCTAAAAATCCGCTCTAACAAACCCAACACCGGTCACTTTACTTCACCCGATCATTAATATGACCCGACCAATTATTTTTATCTTGTTCTTTTGTTGCAGGGCGACAGCATATATCCCTGTCCTAATCCTTGCGGCTGTCCCTCCACCGGCCAGGACTGTACCGACTGCGGTCCCTGTCCCCGGCAGGCGGGCGAGCCCTGCGACGAGGACGACCAGTGCGACGTCCAGAGGGGATTAGTGTGCAAATACAGGCACGGCGATAACGAAGGCGTTTGTAGAGGTCAGTCGGTAAATAATTAGGAAGGAAAAAGTAAACAGGGACGGGAAGGGAGGTGTCCGTGTTTAATTAAAAGTTTTTTGTATTTTGTAAACATGGTGGATTTAGGAATTTATTTCCTTTGAATATAAAACACACACACACAATGTGGGCTAATGTTAAAAAGATTATATTTTGAAATAAGTTTAATAACATAAACTTGCACTTTTTTCGAAGTGGTAACCAATAGAAATAATAAATTAATATATTCCTTGGGCATTCATTATCTGATATTACTATTATTCATTGTCTCATATAATTAATTAATGTTGATACAAAATAGTTTTATACTAATTACAGTTTATTCAAAGGAATACAATACTATAGTATATACAGTAGAACTGTTTTTCATTCCTAAACACCAACGTTTTGTATTAACATTACATAATAAAGACAATTAGAAAAAAAAGGTATAAATTTTTTTTAAAACTACACACACCGGAAAAGTCTAGGGATATCACAATTTTATCCAGTCATCGTCAGTAATTTTATTATTTGCATTTCTGATATAATAAAATTAAAATAAACAAATAGTTTACAGGACGTATTGGAAATAAAAATGCGAAATTTACCGAATTTTTCAAATTTACCTTGATTTTTATTGAACTCATAAAAAAACACACATTTTTTTTTAATTCTAAACTGTGAATTAAAAAAAAATAAAACCAATTTTACTTAATAAAGGGTATGGCATCTTCTACTGTTCATTACAAATTACGGTTGTGGATCTCTTCTTGAGCTACAGCCTGCCACGCTGCATTCACGGTCCGAACCAGATCCCTACGAGTTTCACGAGGCATACCCATTCTCAAAATTCTTCTTTGGACCGCGTCCCATACATGCTCGATGGGGTTGAGGTCAGGAGATTGTGCCGGCTAGGGTAAGATGTTTAATTGATGAGCATTGATAAACTCACTTACCACCCTGCCTTTAAGAGGCCGTGCATTGTCATGCATGAGAATGATGTTCCTCCCAAAATCATTGGCATATGGTATACATGGATAGTACGACAGGCTCAAGAATTAAATCACGATATGTGATTCCTGTTAGAAACCATTCAAGAAAAACGAGATCGGTTTTTCGGCCTAACTGGACTCCTTCCCAGACCATAACTGTTCCACCTTGATAAGGGTGCACTTCCTGAATATGATCCAACCGAATAAGATTTCCCGGTTCTCTCCATACCCTAAGCCTTCTCGAATCCGGATGAATTCCAAAGCGTGACTCATCCGTGAAGAGAACATTGGCCCATTGTTCATTCGACCACTGAACATGATCTCGAGCCCCCAAATATCGTACCTCTCGATTTCCTCTCGTTAAGGATTGAGCTCTCCAGGGGCGTCTGCTTCTTAAATTGACCTAAGCTCTAAGTGTCAGAACTAACGGTTACATTATGTGTTTCCTGGAGAATTAAACTAAGCTCTGGTGCTGTAAGAGTCGGTCGGTGTCGAGCATTTAATTGTAAAAAATGATCTTGCTGAGGGGTAGTAATGCGATGTCACCCTGTGTGCCTTTCACCAACATCACCACTTTCACGGTAGCGTGCACTTAATCGCGATATTACACTTTGCGTTGTATTTAATGCTCTAGCTACGTCGATTTGGCGCATTCCAGCTTCGAGCATACCCATGGCCCTTAGCATTTCGTCTCTGTTAAGATGTCTACGCTCCATAATGTCGTTTAATACTAAACAGAGTTATTTGAATGAATTCTGGCCAGTTATCATAAAAACATAGCCAGTACAGGTTAAATTCGAACAATTGATGCTAGGTGCTTTTTATACATTGGACAAAAAATGCACAAACACTTCTGCAAATATCCCAAATTTAGAAATAACTAGTGTGACTACTTCACTTTAATCGAAGTAGAAAGAATCGGCCTACAAATATGTGGTTGTTTATTCAAAACATTTATTTTTAACTTTAATAAAATTATATCCCTAGATTTTTCCGGTGTGTGTATTTTGCATATAAATTTAATAGACTTATATCCCTATAGGTTAAAAGATAGTAATTGTAAAATCTCATCAAAAACATCATGACTAGAATAAAAATAAAAGGAATTTCATATTCTCGAAAATTATGAAAGATATATACAGGTTGTCCCAATTTGGAATCATATGGTATCTTCGTTATTAGTAAAGACGAGAAGATGCGGTTTGCAAAGTAGTTGTTAAACTAAAGATACTGTAACAAAATTTTCATAGGCCACTTCATTTCTGAGCTACAGGGTCTTTTCAAAAATGTTGTAATTTGGGACACCCCCCTTATCTCTGTTATTCTAAAAGGTATCGAGGAGGTAAAAAATGTTTCTTGTAGAACTTTTTATGTAGAATACAGTGGTATTATCTGTTTTTATATGATTGTTTTGAAGATATTATAATAACTAAAGTTATGTTTTCTCAAACATAATGTCCTATACATTTATAAATCATATGATCCGGGTTGCTATGAGCTTCTCAAATATATATTTATATCACTCTCTATTTATTTATTGTAATATTTAAAAAATATCTTCTTATTAGTAGGCTGTGATAGATAATTTATATAGATAGATTCAGAGTGGGAGATTCAGATTTTATATTTTTTCTCTTTTTTTATAAGATATTTATTATAACGGGGTGGCTTTGCAAATATATAAAAGCTTGCCTGATAGCATTTTCACATCAGTCTTTAACATTGTTGTAGTCGTAACGATATATTACGTTTTTCAAAAATTCATAAATACTGAAATTGAGAACAGACAAATCCGGGGATCAGGAAGACCATCGTATGGGTCCATTGGTTCCATTCATTGATTTGGGAAATGATTGGTGAAATGTGAAAATTGTGAAATGAGCGGGAGCCCCACCTTGCTGAAAGTATTTTTCACGTAAATTAGCTCAAGGAATATCCTTTAAAAGTTCCGGTACTATAACTTTCAAGATCTACAAATAGCAGTAGGATGTTAAGTTTTCTTAGTATATAAAAGATTAGCGTGTACCAGCGACTTCGTTTGCGTCGAATTAATCATTTGTAATGGTTGTGATAAAGCAAAGCAAGAATTTGCATTATCATACAAAATGGATAAAATTTTCTCACAATTATGTCAGCATGAGAATCGTGATTACTCAATGGTCATATTTTATGAAACACCCTGTATAAATTTATAAAAAATCTTAAAATATGTAAAACAACAAAATAGAATATACATGTTTAAGAGTTTTTCCGAAAAACTCACCGGTTTTTAAATAAAAAATATTTTAATATTTGAGGGATAATTTCACCCCCTTAGAATACGAGTTTCGAAAAATCCCTTCTTGTCGAACCTCTACACCTTAAAGTCAATCTGTTTGCCAAAAATCAGCTTTTTACGTCAAGCGCTTTAAGCAGGATCGTGATTAATCAATGACCGGATTTTTCGAAACACCCTGTATACATTTTTAACAAATCTTAAAATATATAAAAAAACAAAATATAATATACGTGTTTAAGCGTTTTTTCGGAAACTTGACCGTTTTTTAAATAAAAAATATTGTAATATTTGAGGGGTGGTTTCACCCTCTTGGAACTGGAATTTCGAAAAATCCCTTCTTATCGAACCTCTACACTCTAGAATCAACCTGTATGCCAAAATTGAGCTTCTTACGTTGAGTGGTTTGAGCAGGATCGTGATTAATCAGTATGTCAGTCACTTAAGGATTTTATATATTAGTATAGATTTATTAATGGCTCCCAAAATAAAACAAGAGACAGATAGCAGTGTACTTTTAATAATTCTTTTGTTTCTTATATTATCAATCAAGGCCTACCAACTAAAATGATCTTTTAATGAAAACTTTGAAATATTGCACGGTAAATAGTAAACATAAATATAAAGTGACATATATTTTCGAAAAGCTTATGGCAAGCCAGATCATATGATTTATAAATATATAGGGTAATCTTTTAAGAAAATATAAATTTAGTTCATATCTCCAAAAATATTAGGGAGATTCAGAAACACTTTTCACCTTCTCGATACCTTTCACCATAACAGAGATATTGGGGGTGTCCTATATTGAAAAAAAAAATCAAAAAAACCCTGTAGTTCGTAACCAAAAAAGGCTATGAAAGTTTTGTTTACGGCATCTTCCATTTGATAAAAAAAGTAGTACAGGTTTGTGCAAACCGCATCTTTCATCTTCACTAATAACAGAGATATCTACTAATAACTACTAGAAAAAATCATACTAGCCTATTTGGCGTATTCAACCCCATACAGCACATCAAATCACATTTACGATGTGTTTACATTATTAGATGTAGACACAGGGTGACACAATTCCCCCGATGTAAATATGCTACGTTTACACATTGTAGTTCAACACGTATGCACAAAGGTTAAACGTCCGCCTCACAATGTAGCCACAGTACAGCATTTACGTATACACAAAGTAAGGGATACACAGTGTGCCGTAGGATACACAGTGCTTGTGTATTACGTTTAAACTCTGTTTACACTTTGCAGTTGTGACTACCGCGTGTATACGTATGTATTTCGCTTCGTATATACATCTTGTACTAGATAAAACTACTTCTTATGAACGAATTTAGGAAATAATACAAGTTTTGATGCCTAACTTTTCGTTCTTTTTAAAAAATATTTACTCAATGACACCAATTATATTTTTTTAGAATGAAAATTAGGAAGGCAAAACTTTGTATTTTCCAAAAGTATCTCGATCTAAAAGTTCAAGAGAAGTAGCCTTAAAATTGTTCCATTTTTGTTTTGTATTAAATGTACCATTTTTCTTCCATAAAATGGATTAAGTGGTTAAAAAATAAAATTCTTATATTTCTTTATATCATGGAACGCAATAGCGCAAATAACACAGTAATAATTACACAGGCCGACAAAAAAAAAATTTTCGATGTAACACAAAGCTCAATAGGATATTGTGGTAGAATGAACCTATCTAATCACGAAAGTGGCAAAAAAAAGTC